TGTGCCCTGGTCATTCCTGAGGCTCAGCAGGAAGCAGAACCCAGGAAGAGCGAAGAGGATTTTTCAGGACAGGGAACAGTACAACCACCTGGATTTGAACAAACTTCCTTGTACTTTCTAACCATACTTCTCACGGTTTTGTAATGTGGTTGCGTTTTGTTGTTTTCCCCCACACAATGGCTTCCTTGCTTCAACTGGTAAACATTTTTTGATTCCAAAGTTCTAATATTAAAACCATAGTTCATTTAGATACGATTCTGGGGCTGCCTAAGGAGAAGCCACGTCTTGAAGGAATCTAAGTATACACACTGCGATGTCACGGGAGTCGTTTACCCGCGAAGCCACCACTTCCCTTTCGTACCCACATCATTAGTAGTAACGCCAGCCAATAAAACTAAGGAGTATTATTTTCAAAAGAGCAAAACAAGTCTCAATTTTCTATAAACCCACTTTTTTTTTTAATTAAAGTGTCTTCATTTCCCTCAGGCAGCACTTTATCTAAGATGCATTTGGCTTGTTGAAGAAAAAAAATACCTGTTCAAGGAAAGAAGGTTCCCATCAAAGCTGCTGAAATCTGATTTCATTTCAGATTCCAGAACTAATGTTGTTTTTTGTTTAAATAGATTTTGTCTGTCAATTTCCAGACCCGCTGCGCCATCGGCCTGTATGGACTGCTGTGGTCAACATGGGGGTTGTAGCCGCAAATTTTATTACGGACTGGTAATTGAATTGAACAGGTTTACATTTGAATAGATTTACTACATCATGATCTCTGACATACTGCACGGGACTGAAATCCCTCTCCATCCATAAAGATACGTTTAAGACAGTATCATTCTCTCCAGGCGGAGAAGGTAAGTCTTGAGCCAAGGAGATGGCCAAACATAATCGTGCATTTATATGCAGGGCGTGATGCAGTATTTCACTGTGTTTTTTAAGTGCAAAAGGAAGAGAGTATTCCATAGTTACTCATAACCATCCCCTCTTTTCTATTTGGGGGGGAGGGCTTCAAGATATTTTTTCCACCAAAGTGGGCACAAGGAAGTAAAGGAAAATAAATTATTATTTAAGTACATCAGCAACAGAAGCAATTCCCTTGAAAATAGTCCCTCTAAAGGCTTGATAACGGCGACTGAAGAGGTGTGAGTTACAGATAAGCACCCGTCCCATTGACTTTCACCAACAATGTTTAATTAAACACAGTTCACACGTCTTCAGTCACTCTAACCCCCCTTCAAGACGGCTCCTGCTTGAAAACACAATGGGGAAAATTATTTCGGGGAAAATACGTTTTCCTACTTCCTCCTTCATCCTGGTTGGGCAAATAGTGAGTACATTACAGCCGTGAAATCAAACGAATCCAGAAAACTCTATCTGCCTGGTAGGAGTGACGTATCTCCATGCACTTTAGCTTGAAAATAAAATCCACATCCAAGACACACCAATTCAGTGTTAACTGGTATGTCACTTCTGTAACATTTTTAAAAATTTGATTTGCTTTTTTAAAACTAAGGATTGCTCAACTCCGAACTCTTAATTCAGCCTTTTTGAATGAGCATACGTTTAGTTGGAGTCTTTACAGCTCAACTAAGTGGCAATTTCTTATAATTAAGACCAAAAAATGCCTGTCGATCACTTGTTACAGCCTGAAATATGTTCTGCTTGTTGCTCTGCAATAGGGTTTAAGGCAATTACCAGGCTAATGTTTTCCACCACAGAAAAGCAAGCAATCACCACTGTCCTAACTAAAGGGAAAATTCTTTTTTATATGGGTTGGGTTGTTACTGTTGGATTTTTATTTATATGTTTTCTTTTGTCAAAACTGCTGTCCCTTTGGCATTTTTCACATAAGATTTCTTGAACAAGAGCAACCACAGCTATCTTTTTCAATGTCGCAGTACTGGAGCCTAGAATAATGCCTGGCACATGAGAGGAAGTTAATAAATACTTAGGAAATGGATTACAAATGTAAAACACATTAAGTGTGGAAAAATCCTAATAGTGCCAAAGGCTATGGAGTGAAAAAGAAAAGTCTCCCCTATTCTAATTTTTATTCACCACCGTAACACTGTCGCCAATCTTTTCTTTCCTTCCATCTCTCCACACATATCAATGCAGTATCTGTGTATGTGTGTGTATTTATATCAGTTACTAAAATACAAATTTTTGTTATGTTTTTCTTTAATAT